GGTTTGTTTGTTTCTATCTTTTAGACTGTTGTATAGAAATATCAAAAAGTAAAAAGTAAATTTGCGCATTCAACCCCTTTAATGTGAATATTTAGATGCCTATATACCTTTAAAAGTTTTAAAACAACAAGTAATATACTTTTCATTCATTTTTGTTCTCATATTGTTTTATTTGTTGTAAATTTAGTATACATAATATATCATTGTTTTCATTGTTAATATATTCAGTCATATCAATACCTTTATCAGCATAATATACTTAAAGGGGTGGTGTCTATAGAATTTGCTTCGTGTCTGAGCATTTAATATATTTAAAACATCCAAAGTATAGACATCTAAAACATTGAAGACATTTAATATATTTAAAACATCCGAAGTATAGACATCTAAAACATTGAAGACATTTAATATATTTAAAACATCCGAAATATAGACATCTAAAACATTGAAGACATTTAATATATTTAAGACATTTGAAATTTAGACTTCTAAAACATTGAAGACATTTAATATATTTAAGACATTTGAAATTTAAACATCTCATATATTTAAGACATTGCAAAAAATTGTTATTCAAAATATTTAGGACATTGGAAATATTGATATTTAAAAATATATGACAGTGGAAAAATTGATATTTGAAAATATAAGACAATGGAAATATTGATATTTAAAAAATATAAGACATTGGAAATATTGATATTTAAAAATATAAGACATTGGAAAAATTGATATTTTAAAATATAAGACATTGGAAATATTGATATTTTAAAATATAAGACATTGGAAATATTGATATTTTAAAATATATGACATTGGAAATATTGATATTTTAAAATATAAGACATTGGAAATATTGATATTTTAAAATAGTTATGACATTGGAAATATTGATATTTTAAAATAGTTATGACATTGGAAATATTGATATTTTAAAATAGTTATGACATTGGAAATATTGATATTTTAAAATATAAGACATTGGAAATATTGATATTTCAAGATATTTAAGAGTCTTGAATAAAGATTTGGATATATATATGTCATATTGGAGATTATTCATATCTATATAAGTCATTTATATTATATTTGAAGCATTTAATAAAAGAAAACAGCTAAAAACATAGTTCAGAGGATGGTTGGTGAGAAAATAAGAATGTCACTATTGAAATCTTTTAAAATCAGGATTAAAGAATATTAAGAATGTGATATTATGTAAGCATGTGAGATAGTGTGGAATATATTTAAGAATTGTAATTTCTAAGCATAATTTTAAAGGGATGTAGTCCCCCAATTATTTATTTTCATAATTTCCTTCCAATTTCCTCTATCACAAAAACAATAATAGAGGATTATGTCCCTTTAAGAGCTGATATTTAAGATTAAGAATTTTATTTGAATTTTTTAGATAATTTTAAGATAATTGACATTTGAAGCTACTTATGAGCTGATATTTAAGACTATTAATTTTATCTGAATTTTAAGATATTTAGAATTAAGAATTCAGATACTCTAAGCATTGGGCTTCTTAATAGTTGATATTTAAGACTATTAATTTTATCTGAATTTTAAGATAATTCAGGTATGAAGCTACATAAGAGCTTTTTTTAATATGGTATATATTTAAAATTAAGAATTAAGATATTTGACTACTTAAGAGGTGATTTTAGATGCTGAATTTTTAAATAATTCATGTATGAAGCTACTTAAGATCTTATATTCAAGATTTTGAATTTTATCTGAATTTTAAGATATTTATCAGAAACATACTGATATTTTACTATGATAATACTTATATTATCTGAATTTTAAGATCATTTCAAAGGTGTTTTTATACAGTCATTTTTTAGGTAAATCATGAAGGTCATTTACAAAGGTTATATATAAATAGCATTTACATATATATATATTTACAGGTTTAATCACTAAGGTCATTTATAAAGGTCATTCATCAAGTATTAACAAAGTCATTCACAAAGATCAGTTGGTAGAGTGTAATTATGGATCTGCAATGCCGTGGTTCATTCACAAAGGTCATTTAGAAAAGTCGTTTATAAAGGTCATTCTCAAGGGTAAGTTAAAATGCTAGCCTGTTGTATCAGGGAGACTCTGATTCAATTTTCTTTATTTACAAAGGTCATTATAATGCTAGCCTGTTGTGTCATTTGTGTGGTTCATTCATTCATTCAAAGGTCATTTACAAAAAGTATTTACAAAGGTCATTAACAAGTTATAAGGCTAGCTTGTTGTGTCATTTGTGTAGTTCGTTCACAAAGGTCATTTACAAAGGTCATTAACAAGTTATAAGGCTAGCCCTCTGTGTCATTCGTATAGTTTATTCGCAAAGGTCATTTACAAAGGTTACTCACAAAGGTCATTTACCAGTTATAAGGCTAGCCTTTTGTATCAGGGAGGCTGTGATTCGATTGTTGTTAGAGATATTATTGTTGTCCATGATATTCCATATTATCGTTATTGTTATTTATGTCATAAATAAATATTTTAAAATATGTTTGGAATTTGCATTTTCACCTATAGTGCACAGATATTACGAACTCTGTCTAATACCTTGAATGCAATAGTGAAGTCTGTGAATGCAGTCTTTCTATTAAGGGTCTGGTTGGCTGTATCCGGTAGCGTACAAACTAATGCATTTTCAAACTTCCATGATACAAGAAGAGTGCCTTTATGGTATCAAGGTGATAGACGTAGTTCGTAAGTCTCTTTTCAATGCCTGACCTGCACGTTTCAAAGTCTTGATTCCTCACTTGTACACGCATGGTTTCAAACCAATGGACTGTCAATTTCCTATTTACAGTTACCGAAGCCAATCATCCTCGACTATTTCAATCCACAACTTGACATTACCCAAATGGTGAATTCCCTTCTTGACATTCCCCAAATGGTGAGTTCCCATCTTGACATTCCCCAAATGGTGAATTCGCATCTTGACATTCCCCAAATGGTGAATTCCCTTCTTGACATTCCCCAAATGGTGAATTCCCATCTTGACATTCCCCAAATGGCGAATTCCCTTCTTGACATTCCCCAAATGGTGAATTCCCATCTTGACATTCCCCAAATGGCGAATTCCCATCTTGACATTCCCCACAGGTAACATTTCCTTTCTTGATGATGCTAGTGTCCAATGGGCTAGTGTCCAATGAGGGAAATTGGGCAAACAAAAAATAGCCAAGTTTTTTTTATATCAAGATTTTATTGATATCAAAAATGTTACAGTGTTGCAACAATCATGTCTTCTTCGCTAGGTAACACAACGTTGCTACGCACAATGGCAGTTCCCTATGGCCAGCATGCGATTTGGTTTAAATCTCCGAATAACCAGTTATGAAGACTTGCTTATTTTCCCTAGAATTGAACCCTTGTCAAAATTTCGATCAAAAATATCGCATTCCGTATCAAACAAGCGACAAGTATTTGTGGTTTGCGTCCATTGGAAATATCGGCATCGAAACCGCTCCATACATTTCGCAGCACATAGAAGTTTGGTGTGTATTTGTAAGGATACAGCGTCGGGTAGATTGCAGCGACTGTTCTTTACAACGTCATAGTTAGCATGGCTGGTTCCTGAAATGAATACATGGAAGAGTTACTGCCCTTGCTAACGAGAAATACCAGTTGAAGGTAAAGTACTCCGTGACCAACGTCCTTCAACTGATATGTGGGTACGAAAAATGCATATGACTCTGAGCCGCGTCTTTAAAATGTAACATGGATGCTTAAACCACAGAGAACCGTATCGGACTTAATGAGAGTCATCTGTGGTCAGAATGGGTAGATCTGTGAGAAAACGCAAACTGAAACTAACCCTTGTTCAGCTGGTAGCAAACACCAATGTAACAATGTTTATCAATGTTATTCCATACCAGTCCATAACGACATTGAAAATAAATGGCTGTATGAGATTTACATTGAATATAGGCGTAACATGTTGATTTATCTGGGTAATAACCATTATCAACTCCTTGGCAAGCGGCTACATTGTTTTCCATTAACATTCCGGTTCCGTGTCTGAAATTCAAACATTTTTCGTATTCATTTTAAAAAGAACTTTTCTATATAAAAAACGTGTATCGGGGACATTGATAGCATCAATTTGCACCATGCAAATCTGTGGTTCTTGCTATTCCAGTAAAACTGAGCGTTTTACGACATCACTATCGCTGGGCTTCTTATAACATCTTTTGTTATGTGTAGCCTACATCCACACATCTTCTTTTTCTCGTTGATATATTTTGCTATGAATAATTTAAGATAAAAAACTTAAAGCAGGATTGCTTAGTAGTCGAGAAAAGTATCAAGAAATTCTGGTGATGTAAATGTAAGAATTTGAATGGTTGAATATTTATGCAACTTGTAGAACTCGTGGTACATAAAAATTTCTTGAGATCATAGGTGGTAAGGGAAGCCTCCGAAATGCAAACATGAAACAATCTAGTTCCAGGAACCCACCTCCCCCCCCTCCCCCCCAAAAAAAAGAAAGAAAAGAAAAACAAACAGTACAAAAGACTTACCCAAAAAAATCCAAACAGAGGAGCGCAAAATTAAATTGCAATAATCTATTGAACCTGTTCATGTTTTTTTTTCAACTTAGAAGTCCTTTAACAATCAAAAAGACAGTATTTAAATCAGATTATCAAAATAGGTGTTATCCGAACATATAATTCTCATTCACTATGGAACTTTGCCATTGTCCAAAGTTAGTTAAAGGAGCATTGTCGTGTAATTGTATGGAGATCCATTGTAACTTCGTTGACATATTAGCTTTGTAACCTATCTTTCATCTTACAGAGAATTGTGGCAAATGTCCTTGTCTAATATTTGTCAACCTTTTGGGCGAGAAGTTATAATATGCATAATGGTTATGTGCGTTCGCTTTATTACCTAACTGTGGTCTGAAATTACTAAATCTGGATCGAGTTGTCTTCCCAAATTACAGATGGCGCTAGTTAGAGGCGAGTTCTCGGCCATTTTGGATACTTGCGTAGTTGAAGATTTTCATTAATTAGATTTTAAAACGTGGAATAAACCATATTTTCATGTAAGTCTCTTTGTCATCAAGGCACCAGCTAGTTGAAATATCTAAGAGTGTGTCTAAAGTCTCAAATCAGTATTGCGTTCGTCTGTCATTGGCGATTTGGCAATCAGAAAAAAATATAAATATGAAAAATTTCTGAAAAACCAGTCCCAATATTTTTTTGTGTTGTCACTTGTCAAATTATCTCTTATCTTTGTCTCATTTGGTAAATCACTTGATGTGTGAGAGTTACTTTAATTTGGAACTTGTCCATTTTCCCTAAAATCTCAGAATTGAAATTGAAGTCTTATGAAAGATGAACTTTTGCCCTGGCCAAAATTATTATCTATTTTTGCCTGATGATTCATTTGTTGACAAAATGGCTCCCCCTTCCACATGTCAAAATAATGTTTTGCACAATGATATCATATCCTTTTTATGACTATGACCTAATAAATTGATAAGCTGGCCATTCTTCCTTTCAGAAACAACCAAGAAGCTTAGAAAGATAGACATCAGTGGTCTGAGAATCTAATATTGGAAAAAAGGGGGTGGTTCCATCATAATTATTATTATAGCCATTTTGTTCTTAATACACCTATAAGATCTACAGAATTGTAAGTGAATTACCTAAATACTAAATATCGTGGATCACTTAGTTTTGAAGATATTAGGTAAAAATTTAATAAGGGTCATGACACAAGACTGAGAGCAGATAGTCCAGAAATTTGAACATGATAAAAAAGTATTCCATGAAAAACACAACATGAAAGATTAATCAATAATATATCAAAAATTTTTTCTTGTTCTGAGTGAATGTCCATGTACCCATTTGATTGACTGAAACAATTTATGTCATTTGAATGTAGACAAATTTAACACCAGACAATAAGCTATCAAATGACAAATAATTTGATTTTGATGTCATATTTTGTGAAGAAGTCCTGCTTGCCTTTCCTATGGACTGTTGGTTTGTCTGTAGGTCAATGACTGGCACTTCTACAATGTACTTGTATCCCCAAATTAAAAACTTTCAATTTTATTTCAGTGTTAAAGAAAAGAATCTAAAATGGCAGCTGGACCATATAATTATAGTTATATATTTAAATATATTATTATTGGAGATATGGGGGTAGGCAAATCCTGCCTTTTACATCAGTTTACAGAGAAAAAATGTAAGTATTATGCTGTCTTCAAAGGTTTTCAACCTCTTAGAATTATATAAACTTTAAATCTTATACTTAACCAATAAGAGTGTCAGTTCATAAGCTTACTTATCATTGAACTTACCTGGTGTCATAAATATACAACAGAATCCCTCTTTTATCCAATAAATCCATAAAACTAATTACCGGTAAATTTTAAAAAAACATTTTATCCAAGTTAGTGAATTGAACTCTATGTCCATTCCAAAATGTAGCATAATATTATAAACAGAAACTTATTTCCAAATACCGATATTTGTCCCGTTACAGTAACTATGATACTGGTATATTATGACATTGGTGAAAATTGTATGTGAGAATATTTTAATGGCTAATATATAATAATTATGTATAAATTGGTTTTATTTCAGTTATGGCAGACTGTCCTCACACAATTGGTGTTGAATTTGGTACCAGGTAAATTTAATTTTAAATTTCTCACCCACTTCTTGATTTTGATTTTTTGCTTTGACATCGATTTGAGATAGTAACCTTAAAAGTGTTGTGAAGAGGTATTTTTTATGTGTATCAAGGACTTTGATGGCTCCTAATTGCTACATTCAAATTTTCTATCAGATGTCTGTGATTCCTGTAAGTAAAGAAACACTTTACCTGTTTCTATCGCTTATATACGTTATAAAATGCTTAGTTTTAGTGGGATTGCAAGACCCACAGGCTTCTGACAATTGGAATGATGTATATCAATGCTATCAGTGTCTATAGTACACTTTGAAATTTATTAAAGCATGTTCAGTTCAGCAATTAAGCCTAAGCAATTTTTGTCAATAAGTGCTTTTGTATTATTACAGAATAATAGAAGTAGCTGGACAGAAGATTAAGCTACAGATATGGGACACAGCAGGTCAAGAAAGATTCCGAGCTGTAACCAGAAGTTACTATAGAGGAGCTGCAGGAGCTCTTATGGTGTATGACATCACAAGGTACAGACCTTTTCATTGCTTAATAATGCTTTAACAACAGTATTGCATAGTGCTGGGTATTGTCAATCATACCTTGATTTGATATGTCTGGCAATAGAAGGAATTTTCGAATTTCGAATTTTTTATGACTAACCTTATTTGATTTTTAAAGTTAAATAATTGAATCAATAGAATAGAATTTTAGGTCCTACTTTTTTTAATGACTAGACGCTTTTTCCATGTCAGCCCCTCTTACCTGCATCACTTACAGGAGGGAAACGGGGAATAATCTAGACATATGCTGGTATTTGGCCCTCATTCTTCAGGCTAACGACCAAGCATCTAACTCATTGAGCCATCACATGGAAAGGTTTTTCTAGTCTGACAGTTTATTTTTTATTTTTATAGGAGAAGTACATACAATCATTTAAGTAGTTGGCTGACAGATGCTAGAAACCTAACAAACCCCAATACAGTAAGTCACTATCTTCTAAGGCGTCTTAGGCAAAGCAAATGTTTATTGAATTCCAAGGTACATGGTAGTTGAATAATCTAGATGAGATATTATTTTTAGTGGAAAAGTCGTTCTAGGAACATTATATTTCTGTCAAACAAATGGTGGTTGTGGGTTCTAATCTTGGTTGGCTCTTTCCAACTTATACAGACCTAGCTGTAAATTGGTATGGATAATCTGACAATCAATGCCAAGAGGTTTGGCTTTGGGCCAAAGGGTAGACGGAATCCTCTTGAAGACTTGAACCTAAGTTGTTATCCTCATAAAAATTGGTTCTTATTCTTATCTCTACTACGCCATTATTAACATCTATTTTGCACAATTTACGGAAATCATGTGCCCCTAGGAGTTTCTGACTAGCTTTATACATTAAATCAATGATAAGATGTCCTTTTGGAAAGTAATATTTATAAGTTTTTCGAATACAACTAAATCTAGCACTGAAATCTTCAGGTACTTGAGCCCAAGCTAATACTCTGTTTTCATTTCTTATTCTTATTTTGACTATCGAAAAATTGCCCTTTCAAGGCTTTTCGATAGCAGAGTATCACAGATTACAGACAAAATGAGGAAGGATTACCGTAATTATCATAAATAATCAAAAACTCTTAAATTTGATATTTTTATCCTTGAACTGTTTTTTAGGTGATATTTTTGATTGGTAATAAGTGTGATTTAGATGCACAAAGAGACGTCACATTCGAAGAAGCCAAACAGTTTGCAGAAGAAAATGGTAATATAGTACAAATTATTTGCTATGCTTTTATTCAGAATAAAATGATATAAAATATTGGATAATCATATGTCTGATTGAAAATTGGAATGGTATAAATTGATGCTATCAACGTTCCCCGATACCCATATGAAGTTTAGAAAACAACTTATAAAAAATCTTTATCTTATTTTGTAGGTTTGATGTTTTTAGAATGTAGTGCTAAAACGTAAGTAGATCTTGTCAATCAAACAGTCCAGAATTTGAATATGTCACATTAAAAATTTCCCATCTATTTCCTTCCCCACCATTTTAAATTCTGTCTGCACCTACAATTTTTCGGCACACATGGAACACTTTCTGAACTCTGTTCCAACTTGTTTTGTTGAACTTCCATAAGTCCCGAATGTGTGGAAATCACCAATTGAGCGACCCCTTGATTAATAAGAGAAGGTGTCTTGTTAATCTTGTTATCCATTTTAACCACCATGTCTGGAATCTATTTCTAATATTTCTAAGGCAGAAATTATAACAATTAAAATCAGTTTTTTAATAAATCTGAATTATTGACTCTTCTCTCCACAGAGGTGAAAATGTTGAAGATGCCTTTTTAGACACAGCTAAGAAAATATATCAGAACATTCAAGATGGCAGGTAAGGTTTAAATTTGTTAGAAGGTTCATGGGAAGTCCCTTCTTCACTTTGTCAAGCTATTACCAAGGCTATCTAATACCTTGACATTTTTTGGCACTTTTCTTGTTTGAAAATCGCACAACACCTGTGTGCAATGATGGAAAGTTTGGAAATATAGTGCATCATCAAAAAAAACGGGAAAGATCAATTTTGTAATCTAGATTGCGAACATAAAAAACTTTTCTATTAGCAGTGTGCTATAAGGGAAATTGTCTAGGACAAGATCATTCTCTTCTAATATTTTGCATATGATATTCTTTATCAGAACAGATATTAATTGAATCAGTTTTGCTTGAGCTAATCAGAACATGCAATATCTAGAAGTAGTGTGCAATGAGGGAAATTTGGCTCGGACTAGGTCATCCTCTGCAAATTTGGGATATGGAATACTTAATCAGAACAACCAAAATTTTAATTGAATTAGTGTGCAATGAGGGAAATTTTTCCGAGACTCTTTTGAAATGGCCATAAATCATTTGTGTCTCATTTCAGCTTGGACCTAAATGCTGCCGAATCAGGGGTACAGCATAAACCTGCTACACCACGAAACCCTCTCAATACAGATACTCCCCCAAACAAGGAGGGATGTGCCTGCTAGTTAATAGGCGGCATCTAGAACATGTATTGTATTTAAAAATGACAGGACTCAAAAAGATTATTGGGTGGACAATAATTAACTTATCATGGTTTTAAAAAACCAAAAAATGTTTTGTTTTTTTTTCGGCAAGGGCACAAAATTTTTATATTTTTGTTGCCATGCCAACTAAATGAGCCATTCCACATCTGCCTCTTGATAATATTAATAATAATAATTTACTGTTTGCAATATGATCACCATGGTAACTGTTTGAGGAAATTTTTGATACTCGAAATTTAGAGTTTGATTTTTTGACCACATAAGATTTTTTTATTATATTGTTTCAAGCTTACTGGTTACCATTTTTGAATTTTTGCGATATTTGAGACAACACGAAATTAAAGATTTACTTTAAGAATTTGCCAGAAAATTTTTAGATTCCAAATTTGCTCTACATTTGTGCTTTAAAAAATTGAAATCAGTTCAAATATTTTCTTTTGGGTTGCCATGGTGATGCGGGGGCGAAGAAAAATATCTAAAAATTACTAATATTGGCGCGAGTTTCTGAAATGCTAATGATTTAGCTGTGATAAAAAAAGATTTCAATTTTAGAGGTAAAAAAAGTGATGATGTTATTTTTAGTAAATATTTATTATGTAAAAAATAATTGTTTAAAATTGTGTGCTCTTTTGTTTCTTTAGATTCATTTTCACTTTGTAATTGTTTGAATACCGAAAAATTTTGGAGACATTTGAACCAAAACTATCCTTTTAGTTATTCAAGACTATTTTCTTCTTGATCATCCAGTATTCAATAAGGGATGTTGTCTATTTATCTTATTAACCAGCAGATATATTTCAGTAACTGTGTCACTTACCAGAAAGAAAATTTGATTTGTCTGCAATCTAGTGAAAGTGAACTGAATTGCCGTAGGTAATGATGACAGTGTAATGTACTATACTATTGTAGTTTTTAGTCCAAAATTATGCAGTCAGTATTTACTTGCATGCAAAATAGATATCAAATTTCCATTTTGAATAGAGACACTGATGGCTACAATGTAGCTGGTAAACTGAATAATTAGACAATTTCATCTCTTTAAGAGTTTAATTTGCATAACAATTGTATAGCTAAACTTTCATTTTGAAAACTGAAGAGGTTAAAGAATTTATTCCTACAAAGAACATGGTTGCTTTAGAATTCTAAAACTGTTATTTTCATAGGCTTTAATGCTGCCATTTTGGTGGTGTCTAACATTCACAAACTAAATATAGTTCCAAAATACCCAATTATCATTTTTTGTGCTGAGACCAATCGAAAAGAACATAATTTGAGGATGGGGTGTGGCTCAGTCGATTAGAGCATTGGAACCTTGATTTCATTTCCTTGACTATGTTGAACGAATGGTGGTTTTGTGAGAAGCGCTGTAGACAGAAATTGTGTCCAAAGATCTATTTTCAAAGTCCATTTTCCAGTTTACAGTGTCGGCAAAAAAAGTTGCATTTTCGGCTATGTATTGAAAGTTCCACCATAAGTCTATTTCTAAAATGAAATTTTGCATGCAAAATTTTAGAATCTTTTGCATTGCATTGTGTATAAGGTTGTATCATAACTTAACCACTTTAAAAATTTTATTAAATGCAATTTATCATTTATTATAGTAGCTCAAAATCTAATTTGAATAAATTATGTTAATGAACTAATTTCTGAATATTAATGAGTGAATAAATTATAATATTTTTGTTTATATATAAATGTATAGTATAATATACTATTGTACAAATTTTTTATTGTAAATAATAAGTCAAACCCATTTTGTGTAGACCCAAATATTTTTCATATTTATTTCTGGTTGCTCTTAGGCTAAACCAAATTTTATCATTGTTTCATTTCATTCACAATTTTAAAACCTTTACCACCTTATTATATAGGGCTCTTTCGAAGGGAATACACCTACCACTTTCAGGGCTCAAAATAAATTGGATCATATCAGGTTTATTGAAATCATGCTAGGTTTGGTTGAAATAATCTTGGGTTTATTAAAATCATGCTTGGTTTGGTTGAATATTCTTAGGTTTATTGAAATCATGCTAGGTTTGGTTGAATAATCTTAGGTTTATTACAATCATGCTAGGTTTGGTTGAATAATCTTAGGTTTATTGAAATCATGCTAGGTTTGGTTGAATAATCTCAGGTTTATTGAAATCATGCTAGGTTTGGTTGAATGATCTTAGGTTTATTGAAATCATGCTAGGTTTTGTTGAATAATCTTAGGTTTATTACAATCATGCTAGGTTTGGTTGAATAATCTTAGGTTTATTGAAATCATGGTAGGTTTGGTTGAATAATCTCAGGTTTATTGAAGTCATGCTAGGTTTGGTTGAATAATCTCAGGTTTATTGAAATCATGCTAGGTTTGGTTGAATGATCTTAGGTTTATTGAAATCATGCTAGGTTTTGTTGAATAATCTTAGGTTTATTACAATCATGCTAGGTTTGGTTGAATAATCTTAGGTTTATTACAATCATGCTAGGTTTGGTTGAATAATCTCAGGTTTATTGAAGTCATGCTAGGTTTGGTTGAATGATCTTAGGTTTATTGAAATCATGCTAGGTTTGGTTGAATATTCTTAGGTTTATTGAAATCATGGTAGGTTTGGTTGAATGATTTTATGTTTATTTCAATCATGCTAGGTTTGGTTGAGTAATCTTAGGTTTATTACAATCATGCTAGGTTTGGTTGAATAATCTTAGGTTTATTGAAATCATGCTTGGTTTGGTTGAATAATTTTAGGTTTATTGAAATCATGCTTGGTTTGGTTGAATAATCTTAGGTTTATTGAAATCATGCTTGGTTTGGTTGAATAATCTTAGGTTTATTGAAATCATGCTTGGTTTGGTTGAATAATCTTAGGCTAATTGAAATCACCCTAGGTTTGGTTGAATAATCTAAAGGTTTATTGAAATCACCCTAGGTTTATTTCAAACATTAGAAATCACCCTAATATTAATTAAGATTAATAGTCTAGGTTAACTGTGCACTGATTAGATATTCCTATGATTTTCAAAACATCCTAGGTTTTATAAGAAAAGTTTAGGTTTAGTCTAGGATCATTGAAAAAAGTCTAAGTTTGATAAAATAATTCCTAGGTTTAAATTAAGATGCTTAGGTTTTATGAAATAATTTTCATTTCATAACCCTAGGTTTATAGAAAACATCCTAGGCTTAATTGAATAATTTAGGTTAAATTGAATAAGTCTAGGCTTAGTTAAAACTTGAAACAAAGTAAGAAATCTGGTTTAGCCGTTTGTTGTTTTTATTTTAGTACACTTTAGTAACATTAAGTATTTAGAATATGTTTTGTCTTTGTTTCAAATATGCTTAATAAACACATCAGGGTCAATTTCCTTTGTTTTTTCGTCAATTCAAGTCAAGATTTAGTCAAGGGTCTCGATTCAATTCAGAAATTCAACCCTAGAGTCTGCAGATTGATATTCCTGTTGATAAATTGAATTTTTACCGCTAGGTTGGAGGAGATTGCTGATGCAATATTGTTTTTAGAAACTGACTTGAATTAAAGTAGACTACACCTTTGGGTGTAACAGCAGTGTTGAGGTATTATGTAATGCCCTTAATTTGTCCATGCAGTGGTTTAAATAAAAGTTAGAAATCCATGTCGGTCTGTTTCACTCTCATCAATTTAGAGTTATGTCCCTTACCAAGATGGCTGCGCCCGGTTCTGCAAAGTGTGAAAATTTATTAGATATGAAAATTAATACAGTTCGTTCACAGTGATCTGATCTGACATAGCCGAATTTCCATCTATGTCCAATAAACTTTCTAACCCAACCGTTGTCACGTTCTGAAGTTGCCGAATATGATTCTACAGAGGCGTTTCCTAACTAACTTTTGGACGCTTCGAACTTTGTCATTGAAGAAATCTTTTGCGGCATGTTGTTATTCTTCTGAAAGAAATACGAACTTTTTTGTGACTACACCAATATTCTATGTCAATTCTTGTGAGTATTCCTTATTTTATTATTAACTTCAAAATCTGTTGAGACAGCATGGACAAGTTACATGAAGGTCCATAGAAATGAACACCCTTCCCTCAGGCCTATAGATATTACAAGCACAAATTAGGCCTTAGTACAGAGGAGCAAGATGTCCTCAGAATATCATCCTGAGAAACAGCAATTTGGCAATGATTTGAAAGGGAAAAAATGTTTTTGTTAAAAATGAGCCAATGTTTGGAGTAGGTGAAACAATGGAAAACTTCAAAAGATTTTAAGTTAAAATTCCTATCCTACGCCCTATTTATAACTTGGTATTTCACATATTTTCACGGCTTTGTAAACAAAGTAGGGCCGAGATACCTAAGCTGATCTAGTCATTAATAAATTTGAATGTATACTTTCAGCACCTCATATTGGTCATCTATATACAGTAGTCTTAGCTGATTTTCTATCTCGATGGAATGAGGTTAAAGGCCGGAAAGTTTTATTTTCAACAGGAGTTGATGAACATGGATTAAAGGTATTAATGTATATCCTAATACTTTTTGTAATTGTTGCTTTGATTCTGAACATGTAATGAGTATTTTTTTTATGTAACTTTTGTTCATGTATGGCATCCATTTGCCTCATCCAAATTTCCAATGTGATGTCTGTGGTTCTTGGACTTATGCTTAACAGTACATGTTGTAACTATAAGGGCTGGGTAAAATGATCGAAATAATTGATTATCATTGTAAGGAATTAATAATTTTGATTATCGATGATTAAATTTTATAAATTTGTTATTGTGGGTAAAATGTTTAATTTGAGATATTTTTGAAGGAATTCTGTTATTATGGGTTATTATGTTTTCGTACATTTCTAGTACTTCTGAAAATTATTTACATATTTTCAAGATTCAAATCAACACCCTAAAATGATGCAACTGTCACTTTAACAAAAGTGCACAAAGTGCTTGGCATCGCTAGTGAAATATAACAACTGCTCATCTGTTCAAGAGCTCTGAACTGATTTCAATAATATTTTTGTTTTTGTAGATCCAGCAAAGTGCAGCAGAATTGAACAAACGTCCAATAGAATTGTGTAATAAAAATTCTTCAAAATTTAAGGTATAGCATTCTCAAATCATCAAGTTTTCAAACTTACCGCTGGTACTTAAGGCCATAGGTAGTGCTAGCTAGTACATTGGTAAATTGATGCATTGCGATATTGTATATAACAATACATGTATCATATTGTGTGGTCATGTATCGATTCTTGACAATGTCAGGCATACTAGACAATTGTGTATACACATATAACTAGATGTTATCCAAATGCATGAAATGTTGAATTTGTAACTGTAAGCAAGGCAATAACAGGTAACTCTGTCAAAGCAATACTGTTTGTTACTATTGAACAATTTTTTTTTTCAGGACCTATTTAAATTGGCCAATATCAGTCATACTGATTTTATTAGGACAACTGAAGATAGACATAGACAGGCTGTAGAAACATTCTGGGTAAGTAACACTTATAGGAAGAATGGTTATATATATAAAGGTGTCTATGAGGGCTGGTATTCTATGTTATATTGTTTATTTGTAGGCACGGCTAGAGAAGAATGGTTATATATATATAAAGGTGTCTATGAGGGCTGGTATTCTATATTATATGTTATATTGTTTATTTGTAGACACTGCTAGAGAAGAATGGTTATATATATAAAGGTGTCTATGAGGGCTGGTATCCTATATTATATGTTATGTTGTTTATTTTAAGACACGGCTAGAGAAGAATGGTTATATATATAAAGATGTCTATGAGGGCTGGTATTCTATATTATATGTTATATTGTTTTATTTGTAGACACTGCTAGAGAAGAATGGTTATATATAAAGGTGTCTATGATGGCTGGTATTCTATATTATATGTTATATTGTTTATTTGTAGACACTGCTAGAGAAGAATGGTTATATATAAAGGTGTCTATGATGGCTGGTATTCTATATTATATGTTATATTGTTTATTTGTAGACACAGCTAGAGAAGAATGGTTATATATATAAAGGTGTCTATGAGGGCTGGTATTCTATATTATATTGTTTATTTGTAGACACTGCTAGAGAAGAATGGTTATATATAAAGGTGTCTATGATGGCTGGTATTCTATATTATATGTTATATTGTTTATTTGTAGACACTGCTAGAGAAGAATGGTTATATATAAAGGTGTCTATGATGGCTGGTATTCTATATTATATGTTATATTGTTTATTTGTAGACACTGCTAGAGAAGAATGGTTATATATAAAGGTGTCTATGATGGCTGGTATTCTATATTATATGTTATATTGTTTATTTGTAGACACTGCTAGAGAAGAATGGTTATATATATAAAGATGTCTTTGAGGGCTGGTATTCTATATGTTATATTGTTTATTTGTAGACACGGCTAGAGAAGAATGGTTATATATATAAAGGTGTCTATGAGGGCTGGTATTCTATATCAGATGAAGCTTTCCTATCAGACAATGATGTCACCGATATGGAAATAGAAGGCAAGATGTGCAAGGTACCTACTTTTACTCAAATTTTATACCAATTGCTAATTTTGTATTAGTTTTCATCAATATTCTAGATGACTTTGTGTAAATTAAATAGTGTTTTAGCAAATCGTCATTGTCTTAAAAGAACAGTTTGGAATCAGAATTAACGAAACCATTCCCAGTGAGCTAACTCCAATAATTTTACAAATCGGGCTTAACCAGTTCCTCAGACATGATATACACATGGGATATTTTCAAGGTTAGGGCCACTTTTTATGGGAGTTCATCCTGATCTGTGTTTAAGATCACTAGCTTTTGAGAATTTTCACCTTGACAAAAGCCAAATTTGGCAAGACTGTTAGACCATTAATGAATCCGTGGAGACAATACCAGATGTCCTACAATGTCCCTGTGCCCTGTTCCCACCATTGCTATTTTATTTATGCTAGAAAGTGGATCATGTGATTGAAGTCACATGGACATCATAGAATATCCTGATATGTTTTGATGGACTCTTTAATGGTTCAGCCAATTGTGCCAAATTTGGCAATTGAGATGAACTTCCATCAAAAGTGGTATCCTATGACAATTGTCACATCCATCTATCATGTCAGAGGAACTAAGTAGGGCTAGATTTGTCTAGCTAGACTTAGCCAAAAACTAGCGCATGGAGATAGGGAAAGAACCCCTGTCTATTTAAGTTCAATTTGAAATTCTTTCAGGTATCTGTTGAAAGTAAAAGACCAGTGACATGGATGACAGAAGAAAATTATAAATTTAAACTATCAAGTTTTAAAGATGGCATCAGAGACTGGTTAAACACTGGAGGTAGGCAATTGTGTTAATAAATGTTAGATGTACTTATGATGTAACATAAGGCCGAATCCTGTTACAATTTCAGCTGTTAATCCTGTTATTTATTATTTCAGCTGTTAATGCTGTTATTTATTATTTCAGCTGTTAATTCTGTTATTTTATGATTTCAGCTGTTAATCCTGTTATTTTATGATTTCAACTGTCAATCCTGTAATTTTATGATTTCAGCTGTTAATCCGGTAATTTTATTATTTCAGCTGTTAATCCTGTTATTTATTATTTCAGCTGTTAATCCTGTTATTTATTACTTCAGCTGTTAATCCTGTTATTTTATGATTTCAGCTGTCAATCCTGTAATTTTATGATTTCAGCTGTTAATCCGGTATTTTTATTATTTCAGCTGTTAATCCTGTACAGTTTGATGGTATAGTAAGGAGGATGTTAGAAGAACTACAAGATCTATCGGTATCCAGACAAGCGGACAGAATTTCCTGGGGTATAACAGTTCCTGGGGATTCTACACAAGTGGTTAGTTCAAACTTTCTTACTTTAATTAGCTTATGATTTTGACCCATTTGAGACGGCAATATCAAATTCTGATGCAAATTGGAGGGCTGAATTGACTTCGCTCCACACTAGTGTAAATCTATAGGCACTATTACTACTACTCAGGGGCAAACACAGCTTTAATATATATATTTTCAAACAGGAGATGGTTGAGGCATGTAGTTACTATAGGGTTTAAATCAAAACTATGATATTTTAGTTAGTGAAAATCTTTTTGTTTCTATTTTTTTTTCAGATATATGTATGGTTAGATGCTTTGGTAAATTATTTAACAGTAGCAGGCTATCCTAATAATCTCACTACTTGGCCACCAGATTGTCAAATTATAGGCAAAGATATCTTAAAGTAAGGTTCACTTATTATCAACCTTCACAATGAAGATATTACAAACAACTTCTAATACCTTGACATCATTTGGTACTTTTCTTGTATCACAGAAGTTTGTAAATGCAGCTATTTGATTTGTGAAGCGAAGACACTAGACAGCCAATAAAAGCCCTAGAGAGATAGATTCGTAACTTGGAGTTTCTAGGGTTTAATTGGCTGTATACACTTGCATATAATCCAATCAAATCGCTGCATTTGACTTGTGCCTAATGATGTCAAATATGAAGTTCATAAAACCTTGACATTGTGAAGATGTAATTTCATCTTGTATTTCAAGTTCAAGTCTTTGCATGTTCGTTGGTATATCAAATATTACTGGTTATTTTCACAAGCATTGGAATATCTACTTCAAAATAGTACCGTTAGTCTAAGAATGTCTTCAAAATTTGTTTTTACAGAGAAAATTGTTTGGTTGAAATTTCTAGGAGAGAAATTATGTGTTTCTTTTCAATGTAAATTTACAAAGAATTATAGCTTTATCAATGCAAAGACTAACAGTACTTTTTGAAGTAGGTATTTTCCGATTCTCTTAAAATACATGGAAAAAATACCATTTTTTTGTTCGCTTTGCTCCTAAAAACAGGATAAAAATTGTCGTTTTGTAAACTTAGATTTGTTCTTTTCAGGTTTCACGCTATTTATTGGCCAGCGTTCTTACTAGCATCTGAATTACCATTACCTACAAAACTATTCTGTCATTCTCATTGGTTGGTTAACAGAACTAAGGTAAGTTATTTTAACCCTTTCAACACAGAGTGCTCAAATTTCATATGCCCTATGTGTATGATATGAAAGATGAAAAGTTAACCCTTTCAATGCTTGTTGTATTAAAGGAATTGTAAAGAGGTTTTCTAGCGTTTTTATATGTATTGGGGATACTGATAGCATCAATTTGAACCATTCCAATTTTCAATCAGACGTCTGTGGTTCCTGCAATTCCACTAAAAGTGTTTGATAATGTCCCTTATCGTACAGGTGTCTGATTGAAAATTGGAATGGTGCAAAAGTTTTTCTTTTTGGCAAATATTTTTATTTCAAACTTAACTGAGAGTTATTTTGTTAATGTGTTTAGATGTCTAAAAGTATAGGTAATGTAGTAGATCCTATAGATAGAATAGAAAGATATACAGTTGATGGTTTACGATATTTCTTACTCAGAATTGGTGTTCCTGGTAGTGATGGAAGTAAGTTGTCTTTCCTTTGTTTTATATGAACCTATCAACCACTGGAAGGCTTCAAAGAGCTTGAATGAACATCTACAGATGCCAAGAAGTTCAGCATCAATTTGGTATCCCACATAGAAATGTGTTCAGTAAAATAGAAGACACACAAAACATTTCACAAAGTTTTTTACTGGTCCATTTGTAATTGATCCCAATACTGTTGATAATATATACTCTGCCCCTAAGGGCTCCTTTGTGCTCTTGAAACATGTTGGAAATTAGGACTACTTAGTTTTTCTATAGCAGATTATTATTTTTGAATGTTTAAACACATGAAAATGTAGACATATATTGCCATCATCTGTTCTGTCTGTCCACAATAGACATTGCCGATCTTATCCAATCTTGATGAAATTTAGTATGAGATCTCGGACAAATTCATAATTTTGGCAAATATGAGAAATTATTGTTCATGGGTGTTTCAAGAAATTGCCTGAAGTGGGGGTCGAAAATGAGAAACTCTTTAGATCAGTGGTCTGGAGACTGTGCGGGCCAGCAGAAGTCAACAGGTTTGATCTAAGATGAATTTTGAGCCTTTGGAGGTCATAATTTTCACTTTTCACTTCAGAATATGACATTTGCTCATTTGCTGCTTTGTGGGTGTATAACCTTTTGGGAACTACTTACTGTGTTAGTGTTTTACTGTATATGCTGTCTGACATTCATGATTCTATTTCAGATTACAATGATGAATTGGCAGTTGACTGTATCAATTCAGAATTAGTCAATACCCTGGGGAATCTCTTAAATCGTGTCACATCGTACAGTATTAACCGTAGTCAAGTCTGTCCAGCCTCCTCTCAAGAAAACATAGAAAAATATCTGACTAAAGAACAACTTGAGGAATTCCAAAGCTTACGGAATTTGCCAGGTAAGTGGTTTTGTTATTTTTGAAATTCAAAAATATAAAAGATATATATCACCTATAGACTTATTGGTTAATGTTTGTAAACTCCTTTAATAAATATTAAAAGAATTAAAGGCCATACTACAATAATATAATAATAAACATTTATATTTTAATCTTAAAGATGGGTTTCCTTATTATTTAATGTCAAATTAGGCAAACTATTTGATTAATTGGTGTTTCTAATGAATTATCATGTATTCTTAATCATATCATTATGTTCTTATTGCAAATGATTAAGAGTTTTAACCAATCATAAATGTCCATATATTTACAGTCTGGATAAACAAAAAAAGACTTTTTGACCTTTCTTGATTGGTCATTCTCTTTGACCATTCTAATTTAGCTAATTATGAATTAATTATGGACATGTGAGGCAAACTGGTATTTTTCCAAGTCATTAGAACACCTCTACTTTCTATTCATATAAGTATTAGCATTTTCATTTTCATAAATGAAGATATGGGAACCCATCTTTAAGTTCATTTGATGATTATACACATACATTTTCATCAAAATCTGTTAAAAAAAACTGTAGGCTCTAGATCCTTTTTTCCGCAATTGTGAACAGATGGACATGGGTGCCAACAATACCAATCAAATTACTGCATTCCGTGACACAAGAAAGGTGGCTATTACAGTCAAGGTATTAGACACAGTTCGTAATTTTAGCGACAATATAGATAGATGTTAGGTAGTAAGAGTGGAGGCAATCCAACTTTAATTTTCTTGGAATATTTCAGATATTGTAGGTGAGTGCTATGAGGATCTCAATGTGTACAAAGGACTTGAAAAAATCATGAGCTACCTTCATTGGGTCAATACTTTTATTCAGGAACACAAACCATGGCAACTAGCAAAACAAAGCAAATCATTGGACCATTTAAATACTGTTATTTTCGTTGCCATGGTTTCCATGAGGACTTGTGGGATATTATTACAACCTGTGGTTCCAGATCTTTCAAACAAATTGTTGGACAAATTGAATGTGCCAAAATCTCAAAGACACTTCCAGGATGCCACGGACATTGTGTTTTCAAATAAGGATGTGCCGTTAGGGAAAGATAACTCTGTTTTAATAAAGAAACTTACTTAGTAATGGTTTGAATTTTTGGGGATTATAGCGGTTTTAAATTTTCTTCTACCAGGTGATAGAATTGAATTTCAGTTGCCTGTACCACTTTTCGGAATGGAAATTTGACTTAAGTTTTGTGTAATTATTAAATGATACTGAATGCTTGAAGAGGCGAAAAGAGGACAATAGGACAGTCCACGTCTCCAAGCAATTGCTATTTATCAAAGCAGATAGAACAGATATCACTACACAATTGTTAATTTATTTACTTAGTTGCAATTGCAGACAAACTAGAATTCAGATGTTCATTATGAAAAGTGACACAGATAACGGGAATTGAGTTCTATCAGCTGTTAAATAGAATAAAAATATAAGCTGTAAATCTTAGGATAATTATCCAGTTTTATTGCCGAATTTTAAACTCTCATTGCCATTGATTCACCAGTCAAATGTGACTCTTCCGGAGGATCATAAGTTAGTAGATATAACAAATGCTTTTCAATTCAGTCTCGAATTCCTTCAATTGCCAAAGATCTCACAGGCCACTAACCCCTAATCATATGAATTATGATAAACTTATACAAGCTGAATAAATAGAAAAGCACAAATATATGTATTAAAAGTAATGTGTATTTATAGTATCTTTTAACGAAATCGAAAGTAAAGAACTAAATAATACTGCATGAAATGAGTATCTCTCAGAAATGTCTGATCTGATGCCATTGACGAACGATACATGAAACACGTTTTTACACATTGACTCCCAGCACGACTTCAAGAATCTCTAACGTCTTTGTCATCTCTCAATGAAACCATTCAACAACAAAAAGTGAAATGGACAACCAAATATGTACAAGGATGCTTTACATTGTGCATTGTTTTTAGATAACACTACTTTTAAAAGAAGAAAAATCCAAAAGGCTTCTCCGGGATCCTTTGGAGTTTCTCGCTACTTAGATTGGACATCAGGGTTTAAAATTTGAGAGTTTACCATCACATCATCTTTAAGGAAAGTCCAAACAACCAAACTTCTCGTTTAAGAGTCATTCATTAGCAAATGGCTTAAAAAGTCACTTCTTTTTGAAGCAGCAAAATCACCTGAAACACTGATCCTTTATATGGACAAACATCAAAGAATACCAGTGTCCAAAAGACCATGCGATTATTTGATCAAGTTCATGAGAATGCAACTATGTAGTAGGGATCCGATAGTCAGGGAAAGGTCAATGCCAAGGACCAGCTGGTTGTCCGGATCCTCGTGAACCTAAGATATATTCTTTGTAAAAAAAGGTTGTCTCTTTCTTACTATAAAACAACGAATCAGTTCTTCACAGTCCACGACACCAGCACTTGTATTTTTTACTTTACCCACAGCCATTTTGAACGATCCAACCTACCAAACAGATTTGGGAATTCGTATTCTGTATTGTGGAGGAATAGCAGTATAAGGTCTCTTAGTTGTCCTTTTAAAAGATTCCCGAACAGCTCCTTCTGGAGTGTAGATCATACCGTGGTGTTCTTTAAAACTGGACATCCTGTTCCAATTATAGTAGTCCATACTCACGAACGTCACTTTTGGTCGAAATCGCGCGTTTTTCATCCTTGACGACATAGTCGATCTGGATAATCGATCCACAATACCGCCAAGTTCATGTTCAAAGACAACGGTGTTGAGAAGTTTGGGTTTCGTGGGTGAAATCGGTCTGAATGACAAAAGGTCCACTTCTGTATTAAATGAACGTGCTGATGCTGGTCTGGAATTACTTTTGATTGGTACGGACACCGGAAGTGACGGCAGATACACTGAACCGGGATCCAAACGGAATGAATTCTCCATCTTCTTCAAATAACTGACTGAAAGACAAGGAACAAATTCTGATCAAACGTGAGGTTGGACACGTTTTTATCCAGAGCGCTGCACTCTCTTTTCAGTTACCTGAAGGTCAAGGGTTCATTCTTACCACTGGTACCTTTGGTTGCCACCTTGAGGCCTTGTTAGTTACGCAAAGAAAAGACATTTGGTTGGAAAGAAAAGCCTGATCTGTACGTTAGAGATACCTCTACAGTTGTATTTGCTTAATTTTGTCATTCGCTCTTAAGTTTTATAGCCGTCCTGAGACGCGGCAAATAACCTTCCAAAAATCCAGAAGGGATCATGGGTTTCATCTATTTTTATGGTTCGCAATAGTTCCGACTTACCTTCTATGGATTCGAACACACTGTTATGTGTATGACCATTACCCCTATAAATCTTCAAATTGTGTTGGTGATTTACTAGGATTGATGTATTGATCGAGTCTTTTCGGCTGTGAACACGTCTATTAAATTACACTGTATATTGGAGTTAAGGATTTGGTTAATCTTAATCTACCCGTATTATAAATAATACTCATTTATTAATATATTCATCGCAACTGTTGAGTTTGCCGATTGCCAGAAAGTAACTCGAAAACAATGCGCGAGTCTTAGGTTGAGACCAACTTACATCGTTCCAAAAGGTTGCTTGGTAAGCATTCCAAAAGATTACTTAATAAGCATTCTAAAAGATTACCTGGTAAGCATTCCAAAAGATTACCTGGTAAGCATTCCACAACTTTGCTTGGTAAGCATTCCAAAAGATTACTTGCTAAGCAATCTAAAATATGGCTTAGACAGCATTCCAAAAGATTCTAATTTTGGCCTTTTACATATTATTCCAATCAATTCAGCCGCAGCCCTTAATTGGTAGGGTAACTGAAAAAGTATCACTTCCATGCAGCCAAGAGGTTCTGTATGACAGTTTCACCATTCATTTCCTTGTATCCCTCCTTCCCTCCCTGAGATTTTTTCAAACTAAACTGTTTAAGACGGTTTCGATTGTATGGTTATGATGACCGTAAAGTCTTATGGATAATTTCAAGTTTTATAGACATTGGAAATTTGATCTGAATATTAGTCCTAATTATTGTGTCAGCTATAATCCTTTTCAACAATACACCTACTGGGCCCATAATTACTCTGTTCATAATGCCAAAACAGGCCGGATTTATCGAGACTAATCCCAGTACTAGCATGGGTCACCTTGCATGCTTTCGACGTGAGATGGAAATCGTAGAACAGAACACTCCCCCCCCCCCCCTTTTTTTTCAATCGCAAAATCTGGCGATGTCAAGACGCAAAAAGGTTGAAGAAAAGTGGATTTTCATCAAAGTCAGAAGGGTGGATTCTCATTGAAGTCATAAAGTTGGATTCTCATTGAATTCACAAGGGTGGATTCTCATTGAAGTCATAATGTCGGATTTTCAGCAAAGTCAGACGGGTGGATTCTCATTGAACTCATAATGTTGGATTCTCATTGAATTCAGAAAGTCGATCCTCATTGAAGTCATTGAGCAGATTCTTATTTAAGTCCAAAGATGGATTCTCATATATATTCCGATTGAAGTCAGAGGACAGATTCTCGTTGAAATCAGAAGGGTGGATTCTCATTGAAATCCAACGATGGATTCTCATTTAGACCAAACCGGTCGTCACACAATGCGTAATCCTATTACGGGGTTAACTTCCAGTATTGTGGAGTCGACACCTTTACAGAATAATCTGATTAGTTTGGACTTAGTTCTTACATAAGAGACATATTAACCTTAGAGTTGTGTTTCTCACTATTGCTTGTTGCATTGTCTAGTTCGACATCTAGAGGAAAGGTCGGACAACTTATGGTAAGTTTTGGTTTGATTTGCCTCTTATTGGGTATGACAGACTGAATTACACCGATTCATCGTTTTCATCGCTGGAAACTTTTTCCTTGATTCTCACGATGCCTGCTTCTCATTGAAGTCACGATGTTGTTTCTTATTGGAAGTCGTGATACTTCGAGTTCGATTCTCATTTAAGACAGGACTGATTTTCATTGCCATTGTTACAATGATTCTGTTTGAAGTCACGATGTTCTATTCTCATTGAAATGACGATGTTTGATTCTGATTGAAGTCACTATGCATCAATTCTCATTGAAGTCACAATGTTTCAATTCTCATTGAATTCATACCTTATTCTTGATTCTGATTGAAGTCATATTGATTTGTCTTTACGGAAGTCATCCTTTATCCTGAAACTAGTTTACGTCTGCATTAGCGCTGTCAGGTGGCAAAAAGTAGGGCGTAAAACTCAATTTCGTTGCATTTTCATTTCTTTAGTTAGTTGCACTTGATTCTCTTCTAAGACAGAAGTCAAAGCTACCTCGTGCCATAGAGTAACGCACCAGAAGTTGATGCAAACCTGTTAAATCATATCTTTTCCCAAAATTGGGACTTCTGCGAGGATTGTTAACACTTGTCATTTATTGCAGATACGAAAATCGACGTATTTGAATCCTGCAAAAACATTAGAAAACATTTGACGGACATTGAATTTTGCAGTTAAGACCAAGTGAAATATACTTCAGTGTATACTTAAAACATCAATTTTCGTGTGTATTTTCCAACATGGATATCGAACAATCGCGGGTGACTCCTGCCAAGCAAGAGACATTTGTGCACCAAGCACCTTTACCGATGTCCTTAAACCATGTAGCTATCGTGAGATCCAGTCAAAACAAATTGCCAGTGGACAGAGTCAAATCTATAGTTGGAAGAGTCGGCAGACCAACCATCTCTAGCGACCAGAAGCTAGGCATATGGTACCGTTCACCAAGTTACATCGATGAACAGAATTTCACATGGAAGAACATGCCACTGTATAAGGACTACCATACCCACATGTGGACGGATCTCGGAAGTGTTAGAGATTCTTTAAAGAAATAAACACAAACCTATTTAGGTCATGTAGCATTATGCACGTGCGTTTTATTATTATATAATATACATATTTATGGAAACGAAGAGTCTTTTGCTTAACCTTTGATATTCCAAAGATCCCAATAAGCAGAGGAAGGGGCTGAGATAATCATAGCTATTGATTAGGTAATAGGGTTGGCAGTCACAATCGTGGAGGGTCATCAGGTATCATGTCTGGACAGCTTTTGGATATGAAGGGTAAATTTCAAATATGTGTTCAGAGGAAAAGTCTAGGATAATTTTAGCAGCCCATTAGGTAACCAAGTTGACAATTGCAATCGTCGAAGGTCATCTAGTGCAACGACAGGAATGGCACATGCTTTGAGTATACAGTCCATCATTGGTACAGCTGTTGGGAATGAGGGTAAATTTCCAAAAGGTGGATTAAATAGTTGACAGGTACAATCGTACAGGGTTACCTGGTATTTTAACACTTGCTTCATGACAAATGCTTCGAGTATACATTATCAGGATAGCTGTTGGAAATAATCACAAAAAGGTACCGGCATTGATGTTCTCTTTGGAAGTTGGGTAGAGGGCGATTGGGTGAAAGGTAAACCCAATGTATGAATATCAATTTCTTTAATTATAATTTACATTTTCTCTCTACTACAATATACATATATTATTATGCTAATCTCGTGAACAATGACTTATGCTTGGTGATTTAAACCTTAAGCAGGATTAGCCTTAAAATGGCTTAACTAGGCTTTTTGTATTGGTCCTTTTGTGTATGTTATGATTTAGTCTTTGAACAAGCATTCGGGAGGGTTGCACAGAGGTTTCGGTTATGGGGGAGATTTTTTGTGAAATCTTTGGAAGTTTTGGCAACTATACAAGGAGTTTTTGTTGCTATGTTAAGAGGTTTTTTTGCTATGCAAGAAGTCGTGCCATAGGTTTTTTATTACTATACACACCACTATGCTATGCAATTTACATGAGGCCTTTTTAAGTTCAGTCAGTTGGCATGAAGCAGCATGAAGGTAGCATGAAAGTTTTGAAGTAGCATGAAGGTTATGTTCCTATTTAAGTAGGTTTCACAACTTAGTAAGGAGCTATGGTCATCAGTGACCAGTGCCCAGCTCTGAGTATCCTGCTGAAGGTTCCTAGCCACATATAAATTAGACAATATATTTCTATGATAACTAAAGCCAATTAAAATCTCATGAACGTGAAAATGATACGATAAAATATGAAAAATGTAAGAATAAAGCAAAATAAATAACAAAAATTTAACCATAATAATACCATAAATTAACAAAGATTAGACAAAATCTCCCACAAAGTTAGAAAAAAAAATTATAAAAAATTTAATAAATAACATAACAATGCCAATGCAAGGGATTTCTACAGTAAAGGCATTAGGTTTTTTAGACAGAATTTAAGACATTGCAGTGCTTATATACCCATAAACCAAACAATATACAGAGGCCCAAGTATATTACAGGCTAACATTAACATTTTTTCCATAAAATTTCCCTAATTTACCACTGCTTGGCAATGCACAATTCATTAACCTAATCTAGAGCAAAAAATTAGGACATAAAACATTTTATTTCCTTGCTTGCTAATAGTATATCCATTGAAGACATTTATTCATATCAATATCTTTAACTAGCTCACAATTTCACTATCTGTATCACTTATCAAATGCAAAATCTGATACCTAGTTCTCTAACAATTCAGAGATCTGTAATGCCAGTTTTGAAATAAATAAGGCAAGAAAAAATTAACAAACAAACATAAATAAAATACAAGAAAAAGTCAAAACTTATCGCCTTGCCCTATAAGGTTGTTTATAAATTGTTTACTCCATGAAACAACCCTTGTCATGGCTTGGCGTTAAATGAGTTAAAATATTGAAATGAGATTATGGTCCTATGTCATTAATTTATAATAATTGTGGAATGATGAATAAATATAATTTTGCTGGTAAATATAAATGCTATTTTTTTGTGATAGAAACCAAACATCCCTTATTGTATATTGAATCACCTAGCAATATGTCATAACATAAGCCAAAGCAGAAATCAAAAATAAAGTGTTGGTTTTGCTTTGTTTTGGGCAAAAACCATTAAAAACTTTCCTTTGAATGAAAAGAGTAAATTTTAACCATTTTTTCCCAAAATTTCTTTAATATTTCAGTTAATTTCAATCCATATTTTATAGTTTTAGATTATTTTCTTCAAGAATTTTGAAGTAGCTTTTAAATAAACATAATGCATGGCAAACATAACACAGAATTCTGCCTCATTGATATGAGCCACAAATTTTGAAAGATTACATTAGCTTGCTCTACACTATTTAATAAATCCCACATTATATACAAATAAATACTAAATATAACTCTAAGTTAATATCACTTTATGACTTTTGGGGGCACCAAAATATATTTTCCTTAAAAGCATATTCATGGTGAGGTTTATTTGGGAATTCATATTTTTCAAAGTATTTTTTGATAGTAACCAATTTTTGGTTAGATTTTTTATGTACTAATTGCCTGGTCTAATCTTATTGTTTTAATACTTGGTTACTAACCAAAACATTGTTATTCAAAGTCAGGGATGTGTTGATTTATTTGGTATATTTTGAGATAGCTATGAATGTTATGGTTAATTTCATTATTGCAGCAAAGGGACAAAATTTCAAGGAACACAATTTAAAGAAGAATTTTGTCAGATCATCGATGGCAAGTGTAGTAACCTGCAGTAATAGCACGAAACAAAATTTTAGATATTGAGATCTGCATTTTAATATCTAGTACACATATCTACATTATATAGCTAGCTAATTTATATAACTAAGTAGGATTTCTATCACATAGTCACAAAACACTCCACCAAACTAACTGAACACAATTTTACAGATTTGATAATTAGAATTTTTGGATTGGTTAAATTGCTTAGCCAATTTACAGTATTTTTTGCGGTTAAATTTTAAAATTTACTAAAAGGATTGTAAAGAGGTTTTCTAAATTTTTAATGTGTATCAGGAACACTGATAGCATCGATTTATACCATTCCAATTTCTAATCAGACGTCTGTGGTGCCTTCAATTCCACTAAAAATAAGTGTTAGATCACGTCACTAATCTCAAAATATGTTTGTATCACCTAAGACACTTCATGATTAATGACATCATCAATACCGCTACACATAAAATTTTAGAAAATCTCTTTACAATCCCTTTAAATAGTCTTGACTAATAAGCAAAATTGGGTTCAGATATTCACAGTTTATCCAAATCGGCATCCAAATATATTTCTCATAACCACAATAAAAATTTCCGAAGAATTTAAAGAACCAATTATGGTCACTTTAAACAAATAATTTCACACATGTGACTAGAATAAATCCATATATCCCTTCCAAATATGTTCACTGATATTTTAGAGGAATTGGCATGCACCCTCCTGAATAAGTCTACAGGAATTTGAAGGTGTATATGTATATCCCTTTATAATCCTTCTGGCTTATATTTACGGAGGTGGGTAGAGATCAGGATGAGCCTCGTTAGTGATTAATGTCTCTTTCATTTCCACGTCATCTGATTTGACCGTTCCTGTCGAGGCATTGAACATCATAGTCTGTCTGTCGGCCCTGAAAAGGTAATATATAATATTGAAGAATGCAAAATTTTCACTTTTGATCGGAAAATGTGAACAATTAAGTGAGTCGTCTCATTCAATTGACTTGTATCTTTAGAAGTCAGTGATATAGGATGGAGGAGCTGACATTGAAAACTGTCTTGTTGTTCGGATGGGATAATTTGTGCTATAAGCTGTGCACGTTAAAGATTCCTTGACAGTTGGAAATTCAAATAGAAGAGGCTTGTGCCGCTGTCCAGCCAAAATTTCACACATTGCACACTGCACATGGAATTATAGTAAGAAAATCCAAATAGTACTCCCAATTCCGTCAGTTTCTTACAACATAAATACAAATAGCGTAATTTTTGAAAAAAGAAAAAAATTTGACTCACTTTTTACCCAGTGCCATCATACCATATAGAACAGCACAAACCATAATCAGAGCACACCCAAAAAATGTAGTTACAGAGATACACAGAAAAAATGGAAGCAAAGCAGGTCTGAAAAGAAATTGAGTAAAAAAACTGGTTTAAATGCTGGAAAAAGCCATCAACACATTATTTGAAAGAAAAGCAGAGTTATAATTTGAATTCGAGATTTCAACCTAACGTGGCAATTAAGGTGGGCATTACTTTTGCCAGAATGTGCACAGCCTTTTGCACACAAGATCTAACCCTGAACCTTCATTTTAGAGAGCAAGCATCCAACTCACTAGGCACTGCAAAATGGGTACCGATAGAGTATGTGTATGACAAAAATATGTGCTTCTTGGAGGACCTTACTGCAGATCACTACTAGATCCTTAATCAGCTTCCCATAATTAATGTCAAAGGGTTCACTTACGGTCCATAAAGTAAAGCTTTCTGCCAGGGTGGTCTGCGTTCAGAGAAAGCACTAATTTGATTGATAAAATCTAACCAAGGACAACAACATGGTGCTTCAAACATAATCACAAACATTCCTATACACCTAAAAAAAAAAGCAAAAAAACTGAATTTTAATTTAATTTAACAAAACTTTATAGATAACAACAGCTACTGCCATTTGCCCTATACAAGTCTTAACATATTATGCCAATTTCGACCATTTAGTTCTTGTTCAATTTTTGATAAATTATTGACAAATCAGATGTTGTTTGACAAGCACATAAGGTCAAAACTGATCACAATCCAAGCAAAGCTACACTAGTAATAACTTACATCATTAAAATACCAGCAACTAAACACAATGGAGTTAAAGTTATACATGATAGTATACCAGTTATCATTGCCACTGAAAATAGGAAAAGTAGAAATTCGCATAAAAACATGTAGGCTCAAAATCATAGAACCCACAGAACTGTTGTCTCGAACAGGGAATATGGTGTTCCACATCCATCTTTTTTACAACTGATTGAGTTAATGAAGACAGGTATATGCCATGTAGTTTGCAATGAGGGAAATTTGTCCAAGTTGAGGGATCTGAAAAGTGCACAGCCTGTAGGAGACAGGGCCAAGCATCTGGTGGCCTTCCTTGAATGGAACAGAATTCTTTCAGCTAGCAACAGATATTAGAAATTCCATTAAGCTATGACTTTGAAGCAAAGCCATGTTCATATCCATGACCATTGACCATGTTATCTATCGAAATTAACATAAATTGGATATTCATTACAATCAATCAATATTACTATCAATGTTGGAAAATATCCTTTTTTTACATTTTGAGAGAAAACTTAACATATTACCGATGCCACCAATTACTCCAGAACCTTTCAGTAAAAGTTTAAACCACCACGTCGGTGCATTTGGATCTGTTGTTGTTTGAGATTGTAACGTTTGTTGTTCCACCGATGACAGAGGGAAATTTCTACTTCCAGCAGCACCCATTTTCACAATTTTTCAGACGTCTGCGTGTCAACTGAAGCTTTCGGCCATAACTCAACAGATTAAAGGGATTAGGGGCTAAACTTTGACGAATTTGCGTATGATTTGTCATAAAATATCAACGTGTACAAATTTTAATGTTGTCATTCTCACATTACCGGAAGTTCATAATAATTATTCAAGGGACGCAACTCTTGGAATTTGAAAATTCAGACCACAACAAATTTGTTTGTTTGGAAATTGTATCAAAGTACGGTTCTAAAACAACCTAATCTTGTGTATTTAACCTGTGATTGATGCCAATAGGCCTACTATTATCACCGAAAATTTTTTTTATTTCCCTGCAAAACTTGGTGGGATAGTTCTACAAACTTGCAAAACTCAGTCAAAAGTGAAAACATTGTTTGACATATGTCATGTATTCATTCCTTGAGAGCCAGGACTTCTTGATTCAATATGCTCTTAGCTAAATCCATTCCTTTGGATGGATATTTTGAAAGATATATTTATGCCTAAATTATAGGCCTATCAAATTCACACTTTGATGACAAGCTAGGTATTAACTACGTTGACTAGTCCTCTTATGAGGAAATTTGATCCTTAGCCCGAAATAATAGCGTTCAAAAATGGGCTCAAACTCAAGTCGACCAACCCTTACGACAAGTGGTATATTTTCAATATCTGTATCATTGCTGAAGTGAACGCCGGAAAGTACTGGAATTTTGTTGTACATCAGCGGAGATGTTGACCAGAGAAAATGAAAACATTGCTATAAATAAATAAGCCAACTTTATTGTTTCAACTCGTGTTCGACAGGCTACATAAATAGATAATAGTACAGATCACAAAACGTTTGTTTTAAAAGCATCTACATATTCGGATCATTTAAAAGCAGAAACGGTATAACAGAACGAAAGAACGGGTAGCAGTAAACGAAGTTATATGAAAAATATTTGGAAATTTGTAAATATATTGTTTTGCATTTCTACAACTAAGGTTCATATCTACACATCGATTGTTATTCAAGCAAAATTATCAGCGTCACGTGACCTAGCTCAATTTCAAATTCGAGTTTTTCGAATTATGGAAAATTGTTCTTCGGCTTTAAACGAATTTAGGCATTTTCAGCTTCGTACACCCTCGACCAATAATTTTCTTTCATTCGAAAAAAAAAACATTGAAAAGTAACAAAAGAAAAAGTTAATTAAAAAATGAAAATAAATCTAGAAACCAGATCTTATCTTTGCATCCAGCTTCACCTAAATCGTGGACCTACTAGGCTGCAATCAAGGGCAATAACTCTTAAAATATTACGGTAGGCAAAAATTCATTCATCCAAACATGTTGAGATATAAGAGGTGAAAATAAGAGAATGTACAAAATTTATGACAAACGAAAACATTAATATTTCGTTTCTTATTGAAGAGTCATGATCTTTAATTTTAGTTGTATCGGCCACCGGAAGAAGAAGATGATGATTTCACGGTTGTGGTAGTTGTCTTGACGACAGAGCTTCCACTTCCTCCACCTCCAATACTTCTGGTTGATTCGGTTCTGGTTTCAGATCGTCCACCGCTTGAACCTCCACCGACGATGCTGGCCAAGTTGGTGCTTCCTTTAGTTTGGATTCCCATAGCTTGTTCAACGATGTTCTTGAGTCCCAGTCTGAAACGAACAAAATGTTTCCGATTACTTTTGATCTGTGTAACGGGATGATCACTTCGTATCCAAATTTCTTAAGAAGGGCCTTGTCTAAGAGATTCTCGCACTCTCCTGCCCAATAAGGGACAGGAAATAGAACGTACCAATATAAGAATCAAGCTCATGTAAGAAATTCAGAGGAACGAATGATGGGTCTACGTTTCTTTATTTCGCTAGCTTTACAATTACTTCAAAATTTATTGCTCATGTAAGCACTGCACCAGTTTCTTGACTAAGCCTGCTTTGCTCAGTTTCAATTCCTCCCAATAGTCCTGATGATGTCTTCCATTTCCGAATTGACTGAACCAGTGTTCAACTAGAAAGTCCATTATGACCAAATTCCAAAAGAAACTAAAGCTACTAACCTGTTTTCTTCACCCTCCAAGAGTTGTCTGTAGCATGAAATTTCCAATTCCAGGGAAAGTTTGGCATCGGTGATCATTCTAAGTTCTTCAAGACAGGCTTCGAGTTCGGATTGCAGTCTCTGTTTATCGGTCATATGGGCGTGTTTAGCTTCATCTAATTCCAATTCCAAGCTCTTGACTAAACCTCTCTGTTCGTTGAGTTCAGCTTGGAGAGATGCATTCTGAAAAAAGAGGAATTGTCGTTAAGGGAAGGAATCTTGGTAAGCACGAGAATTGGAAAATGCTGGATGTATTACAATTTTAAGCTCTTGCATAAGGTACATAATTAATTTCGTTCGGCCCGAAGGACCTGTTCGGTATATGTTCAAGCACAGGCGAACAATTATATTGGGTCTCCATCATCCAAAACTGAGAAGTACTATTCAAGGCACCTGTACGAACACGATCTATGATGTAGTTGCAAATAGCGATTGAACGACTGAAGCTCGTGTTTCTAGCAAAAGGGAACCATATGGACAACCAGCCAACGATTTTATAATACACAACGACGACTGCAGATGATGCATAAGATTCCAATTCCTTGTGATCAAACGGAAATTATGAGAGGATCTACTTATGTTACTTACTCTGGCTTCTAAGTCGGCAATTCTAGCATTGGTGCTGTTCAAAGTGGTTTTCAATTTCTTGATTTCTTCTTTAGCTTGTTGGGTTTCGAAGTTGTCTCGGACAGCTCCACTCTGGACTTGTCGGATCTGAAATTGACAAAGAGAAATTGTTATTGAACGATCCATTGATGGTTAATAAACAGAACACTGTCACTGTTTGAAGCACCTACAAGCTGTATCAAACGTCATCGCAAAGAACATGCACCAGTATTGAAATCAGCGTCTTTGTACTTCCGTCCTAATCATCCGGTGACTCGTTCAAGATTTTTTTGTTGCGGGGTTGCTCTTTGTTGGATAAGGTTTTGTGAATTTGGAAATAAACCCACCTGGGCAGAGTATCTGGTTTCACAATCTTGTCTCATCAGATCAAGTTTATTGTCATATTCGTTCTGGATATCTCGGATAGCCTTGGACATGTTGTTCTGCCAGAAGTCCTTTAAGTCAAGACCCTTGATTTTAACAGGTTGGGGTTCAGCTGGCATCTTGTCGAGCAGAGCTCTCAAGAATTCAACTTCTTCTTCTAAACCGGAAGCTCTGCAGTCAGCTTCGATATGGGCAGCGGTTTCGTTGTCCAAATCCTTAAAAAATAAAACAAAAGGATTCATTTGAGTTGGTAGTTACATCTTTCTGTATCGATGGCATCTCAACTTGGTATCACCTTTGAATGTGGACATCTTTATGAGACTTTGCATTCATCTGATTGTGTCCTAAAAATGTCAGAATGCCCTGAAAATATAGTTTTTAGATTACAAAACACGACAATGAAATTCAGATGGTGGATCAGATGAAATATAAACGTACGGTTCTGAGTCTTCTGTTTTCTTCGCTTCGTTGGTTGTTGAGTTGTCGAACCTTATCATTTTCATTTTCCAAGTTGGCGATTCTGTTTCTCAAGGTTTGGAGTTCTCCTTCGAATCCGCCGATCTGGGCAGCCTGGTTGTCGATGGTTGCTCGGTAATCTTTAGCATGACTTTCAAGAATTTCGATTCTGAAATAAAGCAATGATTGATTTTTATAGTAAAGGCAAGTTGAGTAGACAGGAACTGTCGCAGAGAACTACAAGTACAAGGATTTATTAGTAAAGTCAATAAAAATAGTATTTATGAAGTATTTCAATGGGAGTAAGACAAGGCGCCACTTTGTGACTTACGTTGTTTTTATTTTGTGCAGATGTATTTAGCCCAGTCAAGCAGGATACATGCAGATTATTATTATGATTATTATTATTATCCTCACCTAGCAACCTCCTAAAAATTAAAAGCTCATCATTTTTATGACAACTCGTAAAAACGATATCTCATAAACATATTAACATGTTGGTGTGCGCCCATTGGTCCTGTTTTTCCAGTTGTTAATTTATTGTTGAACTTGTTTTTACCGAGTGCAAGGACATCAGAAAAGAATCAGACTTTTATCAAGTCGTGATTATCCAGTCAGACAGGTTTTTTTAAGTGTCTTGCCTATTGAGTGGGATATGATTTTGGTCATGATATATTAGTAAATAAAACTTAAAAGAAATCGAAAGTGAAGGACTTGAAACGAAAATGAAAGTAGCGGACGTTTTGAAAATGACATGTATTGCCCACTTGAATTGCGTACAAACATTACACAGGATCGGCCGGTTAAAATACTGTTCAACTTTACCATCCACTATTATTCATAAGTTTGCTGAAGGCGTGAAAAATTGCATATTGTGTATTTTGTTAAAATAAATGCAATACACGCTTTCTCTCTCACGTTCGACGTAACCGGATTTGAAAAATTTAACAAATTAAATGAAACATTATTAGTTATTTGATAAAATGAAGTTTTATTCCTTATTTAATAATTTAATTTTGTATTTTAGATTTCTTTCTTGCCAAAAGCTGCTTGCGACCCATATAATGTTTTCCTTATTTAAGGTAGACCCATTGTTTTCCGTCACCCAATTTTAATTTGGGTCTCCAAAGCCAATTGCCATTCTTTGATCAATTTACAAAACGACCCATTGAAAGATCAAATACCCATCCAATTCATATACCCATTGAATTATTTTTGGGTATCTCTACTCGAATTTTAATTTCAAATTCCCCTAGGTATGTTGCAAACCGGATCATTTGACCAAGTAAACGGTTGACTCAGCTTGGTTTGTGCAGGAATAGGCATAAAATTCGACCTATATTTAACGCTTTTCACACACCACTACAATGGCAGGGATCAAATTAATGCCCACCGACCCCCACCCCACTCTTTTGTCTTCTGAAGATCGTGTTAAGAAAGCTATATTTTATTGTAACAATATCGTTTTATGCCTATTCATATTTCTCTGCCGTATGAGCAAATAGTTTATATTATATTTTCGCCTTAGAAATATACTTTGCATTGTGTTCATTGAAACGATTTGCCCCTCTTTACAAATTGAAATACGAATTCAAATTGGATACAAAAAGGGGCAATTGTTATATTTTTTTGGCTACTACCCAATATGAATACTAATATGTAACGGTGTATTTACAAATTATGTTATAATGACTCATAATGGGTTAATACATACAAAGAATAAGTTTTGCCTATTGTTACTATTCGCCTATTACCAGGCACTAGCGAATGTTAACTACAAAAATGCAATTAACTCTTTACACGCCTATTCTTGTTTCTTTAATGGCGGTTTTTGGTCGCCGTCAGCAAGTTTTAATACCGGCCGGCACATTTTACTATTATAGTATTGCATTTTTGATGACTTGCTAGAAATGTAATATGCTAATTTGCACCTAAATTTCCTATTTATATTGATGAAAGGTTTTAAGATAATTTTAAGCTTTTGTCTTGCAGTCGTAGCTTTTTAGACTGATTATGGAAAAGTAATAACTAAAATATGAAGCTAATAGAATAAGGCTTACTACCTATAGTGACGTTAATCGAAAACCAAAATTCTCATTCTTGATCAAAATTAATATATTGAAAACAAGATTATATTGGAAACTGGCACTCCTCCTTTACCTAATTCACAACAATCTAGTGTAACGAACATGCGAATTGCTACACTTTTAAATAAGCCCATTCCTATTCGTTGCCTCCTTAAGACAATTTTGAGAGACGCATACAGGAGTCCAAAGTATGAAATGGAATAAATGTCTCTTTTGCCCTCTAATATTGCGTCGTTGGGCTTACTGAGCCACCAACACAGACAAGTCTATTCTTCTACAATTTCAATTTAAACAAATAGTCTATTTTTAGCTGGGAGTCTTTGAAGGGTATTTTGAAAGTCAATCTGGCTAGCTTATAACATGAATTACCTGTTTAAGATAAATATTGACTCTTGTCTACACAATTACAACACACCTATACATTTTATATTATCACCGTTTTTCGTTTTATCATTCTGAAATTTATTACTTTTGTACGCGACCCTTTTGACATCGTATGCAGTTCTTTGCGGTAAGTGACCATGCAAAGACTCATCGAACTTCCAAGCTACAAAGCTTATAGCATATTTCATCAAGTGCTTTTTAGAATTAAAACACGTCTATACTTTTTATGATGCAATTTCGTTTTATCATTCCAAAATATTATTTTTGTACGTGGCCACTATCTTTCCAGGAAGCTGCCAAAGCTACTACAGTTTAGTGACCATTGAGTTTATTGGCCTGTCTACAGACACTTAACCCTGTGCCAGTGTCTTCTTGTAACAATCGTGACGTTTAGTTCTTTGCAGTTATTATCTTGTACGAGATCAAAATTTTCGAAGAACTGCGGTTAAAATGTGCCAACCAAAAATTGCCCATAGTTGCTTGTGGAGAAGCTCTTCAATTGTTGGAGCTCTGTACCGACAGTACTATTTTCAAAATAGGGTCAAGTGTAATTCAGCCGGGTCAAACGAAATTAAGCTGAGTCATACGAAATCTAAATGTTTAATGCAAAACGTAGGCGTTTATAAACTCAACTAGTTATTCTTGATACAGACGAAATTGAATCTAAATTCAACCCAAATACCAGTAACACAACTAGTTACTAATTCCCATATTTGGTAAAACAGTTAGTTCAAACACTTATCACCTTCTACAGGTTCTTAGCGCGGTTTTAACGACCTTTCCCAAGTCCTTATTGTGCCTTGAACAAATTTCCATTGTGAGTGATACATCCTTCAAAACTTTTCAACGATTTGCCAAATTGGATTGAGATGTATTCAATTAGACACGACCACAAGCCTTGTTCGTGAGATATTGACCTTTAAGATGCAAACACTCCTATGTAAAATAATATTAGAATTTGAAGTAAATCCCAAAAGGTTCTTGTTTGACCTTCAAACGTCTTTGGGCAATACCTTTTGAGCATAACGTTTTATACCACGACCCCATCGCAGAGATGTTAATGTTTCTAATTTTTTTTTAATTGATACAATTGCCAGATATAGTCGCTGTGGTTTTGCCTCTTGCTTTAACTTAAATGTGCATCAAAGTACTTTGTGTTATTAACAATATCATCCATGTACTAGCATAAAATGTATAGACGCAATAGTTCTCCCTGCTTGACCACATTCACTAAAATAATTTGTAATGGAGACGCAGACTGATGCCTCTTATAGACGAATAGTACCTTAATGACTCGCCTTGTCTTATTCCATGGGACTGAAGAGAATTGTGTTGGACTGAATGGACTTACTTTGCAATTGTGCTTATTTCCTACTTAGTTCCAGTAGCTCAATGTGTTGCATTAACATAGAACGTACGAGTACATTCCTTCATGTGCGCTTGTAAGCTGTGCTCACTTTGAAAGAGAATACTCATGACACTGTGCTATTGTGCTTTTCAGCGTTCACTTTGGAAGAGCTCTAGATAAGAATACTCAAAACACTGTACACTTGTGCTCGGTAGCTTCACTTTTAAGTCTTTGATGCCTCTACAACTCAACCTGTTTGTATAGTAAAAAATAAATGTACTCACTCTTTTCTCAAAGTGTCGACTAAATCTTGAAGTCCAGCCATTTTAGCATCGTAGCCACCTTTTTCAGCAGACAATTCATCGATCACCTTTCTGGCTTGAGCCAATTCATTTTCATACATATCCCGAATTGGTTTGAAATCGGTGTGTTTCTGGTTTCTGTAAGCTTCCAATTCATTTTCCAATTGAGCGTTGAAGGTTTCCAAAAATCGCACTTTTTCGATGTAATTACCAAATCTCTCGTTCAAGTTTTGCATCTCTTTCTTTTCATGTTGTCGTTTGCCTTTCATATCGTTGACTCCCTCATGGGAAATGGTGGAATAGGTACCGGGAGCGAGTCCGATATTTCCAAAACTCATGGATTGTCTGGAATATCCATAGCTGTTGCTGGCAGGAGCACCACCTCTCTGGATCACGACGGTTTTCCTCTTGATGAATCCAGAATCTCCCTCTTGGGATCTTGATAAGGATTGCTTACTCATGTTGACTGGTAATGATTAGCTATAGCTGACTACGGGCAGTGAGAAACAGAAGCACGACGATGTGAACAGTAGAGCTATCCAGGTATCTACTGACTGTAACTGGCGAGCTCGCTAGTATTTAAACTCCTCCAGAAACCGGCACGGTTGGTAGGTAGGTTGTCATCAAGCCTCGTTTAAGGAATGCATATAAAAGTCGTTCGACTTGTTATTGAGCTTTGTTTCTTTACAATTTCTCTTTGAATGGCCCTAGAATGACTAATAGACGACGAGTTTCTCTCGATTTTGACAACCCCGCGGTTTATGGAAAAGTCACAGACAAGATTGGGCAAATATGAAATAATCTTTTTGTCCTTCAATAATATATTAGATAAACATTTCGTTGAAGCGATCTTGATAATATGTTCTGTTTTTGACAGAAGTGGGCAATGTTACGAAAGTGACTTTCTGGTATACCCCTTGCGCTTTCGTTTTTCCCCCTTTCCCCCCACCCCCATAAATCAAGGTGGAAGCTATGAAAGTTATTCGATATGCATGTATTCGATCGTTTGATCTTGGTAATATGTTCTGTTGTTAAAATGATAACTGGGACAATGTTACGGACGTGATTTGCTTGTATTCCCTTTCAGGTTATAGTAACCCCCCAATCGGTACCGCTGATGCCATTTATTTGATCGGTTTCATTAAAGAAATGCCAGTTTGATTCTTATCTTTTTATTCTTGATCTTCAGTCCACCGAACCTTAAGGTGCAAGTATCTAAACCCTAGCATAAATTTCATAGTTTTAACATTTTGTCAGTTTGGGATCCACCTCAATTTGCATAATGAATGTCGACCATATGGTGTTCTCTGAATCTGGTGGGAAGTTTTGATACCGGCTTCCAGTGGCATTGAAGCTGTTGGAAAACTCTTAGGCTCACCATTCAACAATTCGGTATTTTTGTGAACGAAGTGCATCGGTTTTTTCAGAACTGACGGATTTATTTGTACATTGAGTTGTCATATTTTGAGTTAGGTAATCCTCCCCTACCTCTTCCAGGCTAATCTACCGAGTAACCTATATGTGGTCAGTCAACTCAGTGCTACAACCATTTATGGCAAGAATGGACTCTGTTCTAAAAATAGTAACAGGAATCATAATATGACGTCAAAGAACGAGTTTTCCAGAATGTTCGTTGCATCCCGAGTTACATAGAGTTAGTCAAAGTAAATATTTGAATTTTTCATTCATGAATTACGTCAAGGACAGTTTATAACTATACACCTTCTATTGCCAGGTTTCAAAAGCAAACATTTCAATTTGGATTCAAATTTAGATAAATCAGTAACTTAACAATTTAGTAACATGATACTTGTGATAAATACTAACAATCGATGATAAAACAACTATGTACTTAATAAAGCATCATTTGACAAAACAAAACGAAACATCATTTCCGTGCCAAAACAAAATACGGTGCAATACAGGATAATTCCTTAAAAAAGGTAACAGAAAATTATAATAGAAGGACTCACAGGAATTATGCGCCAACCACACAAATTTGTTTTGTGGAAATGCAATGGGGTTTCACGCTTTCAAACTTCTTATGGATGTATGAATGCATATGCATAAATAGAATTTTGAATCGAAAAGTTTACAATGTCCATGACCGTAAACGTGCTTAAACATATTCACATCGTAACATTTATTTTAAATCATTTATATTCAACTGTGTTAAATTCATTTCCACATTATACAAACAAGTAAGGGCATAATAGCGCACCTTGTCGAGTACCGTTATTATTACACGTAACGTGTGAAAACTATCTTTTAAAGGGATTTTGCAGTTTAGCATTTTACAAATTCATTAAACGGATACCGTCAGTTAAGTATCCAATTTACCTGCTGGTAGATCTCAACAAGGGTTTGTCGTTAAAAGATTTGATGAATCATTGAACAAAAACGACGCTAGCTTCATCCAATATCGGTCGACTTGGTCTATTTTGTTTGTTTTCGATGTGAGAATGCCATTCCAGAACACCCGATGTCCATCTTTTTGGGTTTGTCAACTCAGCATTTCTTTCCAAGCAGTTATGATTGTTATATACTTCATAAAGAAGTAAAACATTGTAAATTCATTCAATTATTAACATTTTTTGTATTATGATTAAAAGGGGTTTCGGTTGGCTTAAAATTTGTTCTGTTACCTTCTTCTCGAATATGGTTTTGTATTTGATTTTCTGTAAATCAACTTTTTATGGTGTTTGGCTGTCAATACTTATTTGTACCCTTTAGACACTTCATTTTTGTCCAAAATCCCTTTAAATCGAATCAGTATAATATTGCAAGTGTCAGAGGGGGTCGAATAGTTGTAATAAAAATCACAAGATGACTAATGGATTGAATAGCTTCAATTGAAATTTCTTTTTAAACATTTTTGTACACAGGTAACACATCTATTGAAAATATCACGGATATGTGCCACTGCAGAGCCCTTTATTCATATATACATTAGAAAATATGCCATCGTGGGACTTGTGATATAAAAATACAAAAATGAATATTTTTTTATTTGATCCATTCAGAATCTGTTTTCTTTGTATATTTTAAGTCGAAACTAAAGCCCCTTGCATCGTTTTGATGTCGATGGTGCGTCCTTTTCTACCATAAGCACAGGAGTCAATATTTTATCTCAATTCCATGAATTATTTGCTCAGCGAGACATACAATCTTGAGACCTTTGGGGCTCAATGTACCCCACTTTGAGATCTACTGCTTTATTTCAATCAAACAGATTGACTTTACAAAGAGATGCTCATTTGCAAAGTGGAATCAGTAGTTTTAGAAGAATGAGATGTACCCATTCGTTTTGGTGACAAAATATGATATCATTATTGGTTCTAATTATCAAGAGTGACCATCTTATGCCTTTGACCCATGTTTCTGATATAAAATCCTCACCAGGACAGCTGAGTAATTTAAATTGAAGTAAAGTCCACGGGGACGCAAAAAATACAACTCCGAAATAGGCCAAGGTTGGTATGCACGATTTACACTGTCAATCATCATATTACAGCGTTCAATAATGCGCATTATTATACCATTATTGATTCATTATTATAAATAAACCAAACGTTAAATCGCTATCGTATGACACCATAATGCTCACAAGATTAAACAAGATAGCCTAATATATCTATCAAATCGTCATATTCTTTCGCCAGGGGCAATCTTTTCACTGCACTTTCTATAGACCTACAATTCTTTGTAATGCAAATAGGATCATACAATAAAAACTTAGCTTACTAAGAAAATTCCACGTTCTAGAAAGACTTATATTTCGTTCAAGAGATATGACGAATGAGGTCAACTTTTGGACATTGCTCTAAATCAATTGGCCCTATTCCAAATTTGGAAATTGTACTAACTTTCCTTCAAAATGATCCTTAACATAGTTGTATCATATGTTCCAGATTTGTGACCCGATTTGGTCAATTGGTCAATGCCCGATAACTTCTGCATCAACAATCTTTTGAGATACGTCTTCAGGGTCTTTGGTTCTTTAGCTGGGTTTATTTCCCATACCAGCCATTTATAGCCATCAATACTAAATTGAAATCCCGTATGATACAGGCTGAGCACATTAAAGATCCCTCGATAGTTGGAAATCGAAAAAGGATAGGCTAATAAATACCACTGCCCTGGCAGAATGTACACATTGTGCGGTGCGCTTTCTAAATGGAATGAAATGAATGGAGTTTTACGTCCTACTTTTCTGCACCATGTAGGGTTAATGAAGGCGGACAACGCCACGCAGGGTGCAATGAGGGAAATTTTGCCAGGACAGCGGCATTAGCCTGCTCTTTTTCGATTTTCAACTGTCGAGGGATCCTTAGCGTGCACAGCCTGTAGCACATGGGGCCTCGGTTTATTGTCCCATCCGAACGCCTAGACGCTTTTTCCATGTCAGCCCCTCTTACCTGCATCAATGACAGGGGGAAACCGGGTTGAAAAATCCGAAGGTATTATCTCGACCTATGACGGGATTGAACCCTGGACCTTCAGGTTAGCGAGCAAGCGTCTAACTCACTGAGCCATCGCGGCTCCCTGTGCGCTTTCTAAGATCGATCGGGTGCAGAAAGGTAAAACGTAAAACTCCATTTCATTTCATAGTAAATCTTTGTAACAAAAAATTCAAAAGCCTGTTCAAAAAACTCGGACAAGAAATCTACAGAGAAACAGAAATAGTAGGCGTTTAATATTTGTCAAACGTGTCCTTTCTTATGCATATCATTGTGCACTGGATATACAAGGATATAGTACAGGGCAGTTTACCGACATATTCGTAAGGTAGCTCTCTAAATTACAATCAAAGATCCTTGACAAATGTGTAAAAAAATTTCCAGTGTTATACAGTTTCCATTCGTATTATATAGGGACGCATTTAGCCCTTATGTAATTTACAATTATGTTAGCTTGAAACACGTTTGAACTTGATCCTTCTAATTTCATTTTCAAATATATATATTTTGTATATGTTCGAGCTCTGACCATTTGAATAAATGCAATTGCAAATTGCTTCCGTCATCCATTTAAGTGCATGGTTCACAAGCTTTAAGAACATGCCCCAAGTATATTGCAAAGAAAACCAATGAACAATCCCTTTAAGAACATGACCGAAATAAATAATAATGAAAGCTTATGAACAATCCCTTTAAGAACATGACCGAAATAAATAATAATGAAAGCTAATGAACAATCCCTTTAAGAACATGCCCCTAGTATATGACAAAGAAAAACCCTCTGTACAATCCCTTTAAGAAAATGGTCCAGTACCATCACGAATATGACAGAAAATATCATTTTTTACATGCGTCAATAAAATAAACTACGACATGCTTTCGGCTACGTAGAAACGCCATAAAAAATAACATAGCTCTTTAAGTTAACAACCTTCACAAAGACCAGCTGAGAGTTTCATTTCATCTGTGACGGTCGAACTGGTTTGGCCGGCTTGGAAACGTCTTGTAAGCATGGACATTACATCGTTTGCCTGCACTAAAAATCCGTCATAAAGACTGAACTTCAAATATCAACTCGGCTA